GCCCTTGTATTATAGCCAAATTCCAGTTTGGGCCTTGTCCAGACTAAGAAAAAAAAGTTGCTTTTCTCAATGGGATTAGCTCAAACAACCTATCTTAACCCAATTTAAAACTCCCACCATATATCAATATAGACACAGTTTAACTGCTTTAGCTTGATTTTAGCAGGTCAAGATATTGTCTAGGCAAGGCCTTTTGGGAGCTGATACATCACTCGAGTTGAACGTTAATGCTTTATATATCCTGTGAAATCAGAGATTCCCCGGCTGTTTGAGATGGCATAAATATTTATTCCTAGCTCTAGAGATTAAACTCATGTCAGATTAAAAAGGGGATGCAGTGATGATGGAAATAAATTAGTAATCAAAATAATGTGATTTTATGATCTTATGTTATATACCCTGTCAGGGCTAGAAATTAATTCTTTATGTCTTTAGGGGCGAGGGTTTCCCAGCTTTCCAATGATATAGAACAATAGTCTAGATTCCTGAGGGTTCACAGCGTGGCAGGCCTTCAACAGTCACTGGTGCCTCGGTCTAACAGTGCTTTTGTGGCATTGAACGAGGACTGAATATAGTAAATTCTGAATCTCAGAGCTCTGAAGCTTTCAGTGCTTAGTTTTGAACCTACTGGGCCTCTGACAGCTGGAATTGCCGCCTGTGTTTGGTTCAAAGCACAGCTGTGCTTTCTTTTCATTTATGGTTAGGTTTAAGGCATATTTTTTCCCGTGGCTTGTATAACTGCGCAGAATAGTCGTGTTTGAAATTATGGTGTAGTATAAACCTTCTTGGTACGCTAGAAAAAGCAGTGTTACATTATATTGAAAATTTGTCCTGTGCAGCCCTTAGCTGGGTGGCTGACCTTGGATACATTTTCCATCGTAAAGGACCAATCCTGCAAGGTGCAGAACACCTCTTGAGAGATTCTGAGTGCCCTCAGCTCTCAGTGAAATCAATGGGAGTTGAATCTGTTCAGCACCTCACCAGAAAGCACTCAGACCTGGCAGGAATGGGCCCTAAATCCGAAATGATGTGAATAAAAAAAAGGTCTGGATACTCCAGTAGAGCCACTCAGATCATTCAGCAAGACTCAGTTCATTATTCCAACATACGGCTAACGTGAGTCATGGCAGCAAGACTTTTCCCCGACTGTTTTATTGGCACTGACATCCCATTTTTCTTTCTTATAGGCCCCCTATCTGCTTCTTACAACCCCAGTAGCCCTGTCCAGATACTGGAAGACATTGGCTTTCTTTACCAGGACCATCAACTGTTTACCGACAGGCTTGATGTTTCCCCGTTAACAGCAGAGACAGTCAGTGGTGCTAAAAATAAAGCTGGTAAGCAAGCAACAACCCTTACACACCTACCTGTAAAATTAATTCCAGTTCCTTTTTCTGTTATCGACTTCTTGAAGAGAAATTTAGAGTTTCTTCAGAATGATCTGTATAAACTTAAAAAAATCATGGGCCAAATCTTGATTCCCACTGAAGTGAGGGAAATGTTGCCATTTACTTCAGTGAGAGATCTGGATTTGATCCTGTGTCATTTTTCACCCAGTGCAACATATCATGTTACACTGCAGTACTCAATTACTCTTCACTGGACAGTTAGACCAAGGTGGATGGCTCTCTGCTTAGGGAATAGGACTGCAAGAATCCTATGAAAAATAAGCACAGATCAGTCCTTTTGGGTCAAGTTTTCAAAAATAGGCAACAAAAGTGTGTCCCTAAAATATAGAACGTAGGGTGCAAATGGATGACTGGCTAGGCAGGTGCTGTAGAGAGACCTCCATCATAGGGATGGTGTCCTTAGCCTCTATTTGCCAGAAGCTGGGAATGGGCGACAGGAGATGGATCACTTGATGATTACCTGTTGTGTTCATTCCCTCTGAAGCACCTGGCATTGGCCATTTTCGGAAGACAGGACACTGGGCTAGATGGACCTTTGGTCTGACTGAATATGGCTGTTCTTATGTTATGTTCTCTGCTTATGTATGATAACTTGCTTTCTTCACTGTGATCATGTCATTTGCCACCTCTGATGTGTTTATCTCATCCACATGTTGTTTATTGTCATAACCTAGATTGAGAACTCGTAGGGGAAAGAATATTTTTACAGGGGGTCAGCACGATGGGGCCCTGATCATTGGAAGTGGCTTCTAGATGCTACGGTAATATAAATCAATAGTAATAACAGCTGTAAATGAAAAGTAGGCAACTGCAGGTACAGATTAGGTAAATGCATGTGCAGGTATCCAACTGAGCACATAAATGGATGTTTTTCATCTGCACATTTTGCAGGCTCATTTTACGGGCCTATTTTAAAAAAAATTACCCCTTCGTTATTTTGCAGATTTAAATGGAATCTATCCCTTTGCAAAGTGTGAAAATGTTTACATTTTAGTGATTTTTACATATGTGTTTTCTGACTCAAGCTCTGATCCAGCACTGATCCAGCAAAGCAGTTAAGCACATGTGTAGCTTTTAGCAGGTTAAGCAGTCCCATTGACTTCAACTAAATGGACATCTTGTGATCAAAGCACTTCCTGGCAGTGATTAGACCCTGCATAGGCAGATAATGTCCTCTGAAGGAACTTTGCAGAGTGTGTGACATGACTGTAGTGAAACAGCATGGTATCCACTCTCCCCTGCAAACCCTACAGTCATCTTTAAGACTTTGCCACAAAAATGTTAATAGAAGTGACCTATTTTCATAGTGGAGAGCTGAGGGTTTTTCTTTTCTATCTGGCATCCAATTTTGTATGTAAGTGATCACACAGTGTGAGCAATAACAGATGAAACCTCAGGGAGGTACCAAACCTCGAGAGAACATTTGTTTTTTAATTACTTTCAAATGCATTTTTTTAAATACTTCTAAAAAACTGCTATGAGAACTGAGAACAGCAGGCTTCAGAAATAACATTTCCAAGAGTGACCTCAAAAAATGAACACAGAATGGTGCTTCCTCATTGCCTAACAATTTGTGATGATTATATCCAACTCCTGAGGACTTGATTCTAATCTCGTTTACACTGGTGTCTCTAAAGAGTAACTTCATTGGTCTCGGTGGAGTTACACCCCTGTGAAACTGGTGCATGGTAAGTGAGGAGGAAGCAAGCCCTGGTGAGATTGTGTAGATAGAATTATTGCTTTGTTACAGTCTAGGAAATTCAGCGAAGACCCCAGCTACATATTTCACTTTTTGCAATTCATTAGCTGCAAAGGTTTCAGAGTGGTAGCTGTGTTAGTCTGTATCAGCAAAAATAACGAGGAGTCTTTGTGGCACCTTAGAGACTAACAAATTTATTTGGGCATAAGCTTTCATGGGTTAGAACCCACTTCATCAGATGCATGGAGTGAAAATACAGGAGCAGGTATAAACACATGAAAGGATGGGCGTTGCTTTACCAAGTGTGAGATCAGTCTAACGAAATAAATCAGTTAACAGCAGGATACCAAGGGAGGAAAAATAACTTTTGAAGTGGTAAGAGAGTGGCCCATTACAAACAGTTGACAAGAAGGTTTGAGTAACAGTAGGGAGAAATTAGTACTGGGGAAATTAAGTGTAGGTTTTGTATTGACCCAAGCCACTCCCAGTCTTTATTCAGGCCTAATCTGATTGTATTCAGTTTGCAAATTAATTCCAGTTCTGTAGCTTCACCTTGGAGTCTGTTTTTGAAGTTTTTTTGTTGAAGAATTGCCACTTTTAGGTCTGTTATTGAGTGACCAGAGAGATTGAAGTGTTCTCTTGCTGGTTTTTGAATGTTATGATTTCTGATGTCAGATTTGTTTCCATTTATCTTTTGCATAGAGACTGTCCGGTTTGGCCAATGTACATGGCAGAGGGGCATTGCTGGCACATGATAGCATATATCACATCAAGGGCACGTTCACCTGCACATCTACCAATATGATATATGGCATCATGTGCCAGCAATGCCCCTCTGCTATGTACATTGTACTGGGAGTGGTTGGGTCATTACAAAACCTAAACTTAATTTCCCCAATACTAATTTCTCCCTACTGTTACTCAAACCTTCTTGTCAACTGTTTGTAATGGGCCACTCTCTTACCATTTCAAAAGTTATTTTTCCTCCCTTGGTATCCTGCTGTTAATTGATTTATCTCATTAGACTGACCTCACGCTTGGTATAGCAACCCCCATCCTTTCATGTGTTTATACCTGCTCCTGTATTTTCACTCCGTGCATCTGATGAAGTGGGTTCTAACCCATGAAAGCTTATGCCCAAATAAATTTGTTAGTCTCTAAGGTGCCACAAAGACTCCTCGTTATATGAGCTGCAAATTGTTTCCAGTAGAAAACTAGGTGAGTGGGTTCAAGCGTTGAAAAAGTGGATTGGAATCAATTCAGACAATAGTCAGTATTTTGCAGTTACTCACAACCTGTGCAACCTTACTGAAGTCAGTGAGTTTCACAGCGTGCAAATTAATGTGGTATTTGGCCCCTAAAATACAGTACTTGGAGATTTGTGACTTTTCCTTAGCTCCTGTCCTCCTGTGGCTCAGGATATTGCATTATCCTTTTTATTCTCTGTGTCATTTATGGAAGATATTTTATCTAATTTGCCTATCTGTGATATTTCTAAGGTGCCTGACACCTGGGAATAGAACAGCCAAGGTACTATATAAGCAGATCTGATTTACATAGCAGTGCATCTGTCACCCTATCATCTTGTTAGAACTGACATGTCAAAATTACTGTTAATCATGTAGAGATGGCATTGTTAGAAATAGATCAAATTACTGGACTAAGATAGTAGATTCATGTCCAGATTCTACTCTTAATTACACCTGTACAACCTCATTATTTTTAATAGCATTTCAGAGTTTTCCCAACTTATACTGCATTGTTTGGTAAGGAGGAGAGGAAGCTGGGCACTATAGTGTAAAAGGATTAGATGATTTCTCAGCAGTTGCCAGCCTTAAATAATGGTGTCATCAGAAAACATAAACCCTGATTTTCTTCTGTTCTATGTTTAGTTGAGGACACTCTTTGCAACTTCCACACTTCAAACTTCCTTGGGATCTCAGAGGTGGAAATGAGAGGTTCAGAGGATGTTGCAGCTGGAACAGTATTACAGCGATTGATCCAGGAGCAGCTGAGGTATGGCAATCCAAATGAGAACATGAATCTGCTGGCAATTCAGCACCAGGCCACAGGGAGCGCAGGACCATCCAACAGCACTACAAGCACACTTTCTTCCACAGAAAACCTCACACAAGAAGACCCACAAATGCTCCAGCAGTCAGCACGCCAGGAACCTCAGGGGCAAGAACATCAGGTGGACAATACTGTGATGGAGAAACAGTCCAGGGCCACACAGCCTCATCAGAACAATGAAGAACTACCAACTTATGAGGAGGCGAAGGCTCAGTCCCAGTTTTTTAGGGGCCAGCAGCCAGGTGCTGTTGGCCCAAGTTTTTACATTGCTGGAGTGTCCAGTCAGAAATCGAGAACAGAAGGGAGACCAACTGTGAATCGGGCCAACAGTGGGCAGGCTCATAAAGATGAAGCACTTAAAGAACTTAAGCAGGGTCATGTCCGATCTCTAAGCGAGAGGATAATGCAGCTGTCTTTGGAGAGAAATGGTGCTAAGCAACACCCTCCTACCTCAGGGAGCAACAAAGGCTTCAAAACTGGAGGACCCCCACCCACGCAGCCCTCTGGCAAAGGAATGGATCCCAGAGGTCCCCCGCCCGAGTACCCCTACAAAGCCAAGCAGGTGGTGTCACCAGTCAGCAAGACTCAGGAACATGGGTTGTTTTATAATGACCAGCACTCGGGAATGATGCAGATTCTCAAACCCTCCTACCCTGCTCCTCTGCCAGCAAGAACGGAAGGAGCAGTTGTCAGATACCAGCCTCCCCCGGAATATGGTGTGACAAGGTAATTCTAGCTCCTGGCCTTTGACATTCTTGCTTTTGTAAATACTCTTGGCTTTGAACTTTTTTTTAAATTGACGTTGTTGATGCTTTTAAGCAAACAGGCCTACTATTCTCTTAATCCGGCTTCTTAGCTTTGAGGGTGAACTCCATCAGCTCCATAATGCTAGAAAGCCAAGTGGGTTCATCTGTGGGCATTTTTTCCTGTTAAACAGCTTGAACCAAGGAATCAAATTGCAGCAGACTTTCCCACAGACTTAGAAATATGCTGTGTAGGTCATAAATAATTGTTTTCTGAAGGGATAAGTGAAAGTACAGTTGAACAAGCCCTGATCCTGTGTCCATTGACATCAATGGAATAACTCCAGTTGGCTTGTGTGGGTTCTGGTCCTATATAAACAAATATGGATCTGATTCCCATTACACTAGGGCCATTTTACACCACTAGCAGGGCAAAAGAGCCTTAAAATGGATGTAAATATAATTTACTCCCATTTCAAGGCCCTTTACACTGGAAGAATGGCCTTAGTGTAAATGGGAATCAGGCCCCATGATTATAACACTGATGATATATTTAAATATAGTGGATTATATTCTGCTCTCAGTTACAGCAGCATAAATCTGGATTAACTCTACTGAAGTCAATGGAGTTACTCTGGATTTCCACTGCTGTAACTGAGAGCAGAATTGGGTCCAATATTCTGATAACCTCTGAGCTCTAAAGTTCTTCAGAAATGAATATTGTATTTAGAAGTTCTTTAGTATCTTAATTCCTATTAATTTCACTTTACGCATAAACCTAAAAGTATCTGAATATATTTATACAATTGAATTATAGTAGAAAAAACATCAATTAGGTATGCAATTTTTCATCATTAATCTAATACCAGCCTGTACAGATGTTCCCATTTTAATGTAGGTTATTCGAAGCAACAAAGCTATCGGTCACCACCATAGGTAGTTAGAGGTGCCGTAAACTTTCTAACACTTACTGTGATTCAGCTTCTAAATTAAAGGACAAAATGCTACCTTTGGAAAACCCTATTTGTCAATTGTTTGTAGTTCACAAGTAAGAAAAAAAAATGCTTTGGGCTGAGATTTGGCCTAAATTTTTTTTAGTCCAGGAGTGTTAAAAAAATGAAATAGGGTGTTGGTTCTTTTAAAATGAGAGTGTGAACCCCCCCCCCCCCAAAAAAAGAAAAAACAAAAACAAAACATAAAGCCACGCTCTGCAAGGTAATGAGTTACCTGCTTATTTCAGGCTGTCCTCATTGGGTGTGAATTTCACTCAAAGAGTGAAATGCTGTCTTGTGCAAAGGGCCCTATGTGCCTCTTATGCTCCACTTAAATCCTCACAAGTAGGCTTATGTGGCACATAGTCCCTTGTGCTGACCTTCTGCACAGGGGTGAGTTTCCCTCAAAGTGCATAACTAGTCATCTTAAAATGTTACCTTTTGTGGACTGACTCCTGAGAGCTAGTGGAAACCAGTTCAGCATCATAGCTCCCACTGAATTCTCATGCTCCTGTCTGAAGGTGGAGTTTGGCCTCGAGTATGCCTTAAAGAATGAGGCTTCCACCATTCCTTAGGGAATTATTCCATAGTCCAATGGACCGCACTGTTAGGACATTTTTCCTGATATGTATAATCTCTGTTTCACCACATGACTCTTAGCAATTCCTCCTTGGTCTCCCTGAACAACATCTCTCCTTCCTCCTTGGATCTGGAGGACTTTAAAGATCCACATATTTGGTGGTGTGTTAATATTTTTCATGTTCAAAGTGGTCTAATTAGATATTTATTGACCCATAAATCCTTGAAGCTCCTTTGACTTTAACTCCCAATGCAGAGTTCCTCTTCTTTCCTCAGCATTGGTCCATGGTGAAGCTGGAATACGGTCTGAATTTCCAGGCCCATTTCTCCTCATTTCTGATCATTTTTTTGAAAGCATAAATCAGAACATGAATATTTCATTATTGTGAATGTCTGAAATAGTGTAGGTAACTTGTTTGCTTGGAAAATGAGGGCTGGTAAAGATGATTGCTCATTCAAATAGTGCAATGGTTGTACAAATTGATTAAATAAAATCTGATCCTGCCAGGCGGGGATGTCCAGAATCAGGACCTTGCCACTTTATTTGCAAGCATGAGCCTGCACTGGTGGCCTGTCGGCCTTCCCTTAGGCATGTTTAGTCTTGGGAACATTATTTGAATTCCACCGGCTAAACATGTGTTTTGAATACCAGCATTAGCTCTCCAGAGTTTGTATAATTTTTCAGCTGAAAATTATGCTCATAAGAGCCAAGTGAAAATCCCTGTTTATGATAAGAAACAGCTATATGAGAATGGGAAATACAAGATAATGGGGTCACGTTCAGGTTATATTCTCAGGAAGCGTAACAGGATTCCAGCTGTGATTCATTATGTTAACAAACACTGCAGACACCAAATGGATTAATCTCCACATAAAAGGGTGATGGCTTGATTTTTATAGCTCATGAAAAATGCTGATTCAATAACCAAGGAGCTTGTTCTGCTGAGTCTCTTTAAATATTCCTTGGGCAAGGCCCTGTGTACTAAGCAGCAGAGCTTACTCCAGTGTATATGGCAGAGCGTCACTGAATTCTGTCTCAAAATGGGAATGATAGAGTGAGGTTAATTGACTGTGAAATTGTGTGGGCCCAGTTTGTGAACTCCTTATTGCTCATCGGTGAGCAGCAACTCTTACAAGTAGTCCCATTGACTTCAATGAGACTGCTCATTTAAGAATGGCCATACTGGGTCAGACCAATGGTCCATCTAAACCAGTCTTCCAACAGTGGCAAATGCCACATACTTCAGAGGGAATTAATAGAACAGGGCAATTATCAAATGATCCATTGTTCCCTGTTGTCCAGTCCCAGCATCTGGCAGTCAGAGACGTAGGGACACCCAGAGGCTGGGATTGTGTACCTGACCATCTTGGCTAAGAGCCATTCGTGGACCTATCCTCATTAACTTATCTAGTTCTTTTTTGAACCCATTTATACTTTTGGCCTTCACTACATCCCTTGCTAACAAGTTTTACTGGTTGATGGTGCGTTTTGTGAAGAAATATGTCCTTATGTTTGTTTTAAACCTGCTGTCTATTAATTTCATTGGGTGACCCCTTGTTCTTGTGTTGCGTGAAGGGGTAAATAAATAACACTTCTCTATTCCCTTTCTCCACACCATTCATTTTATAGACCGCTGTCGTATCCCCTCTTAGTCATCTCTTTTCTAAGATGAACAGTCCCAGTCTTTTTAACCTCACCTCGTATGGAAACTCTTCCATACCCCTGATCGTTAATTGGTGCCCTTCTCTGTATCTTTTCCAATTCTAATATAACTTTTTTAAGATGGGGAAACCAGAAGTGCACACAATATTTAAGGTGTGAGCACACCATCGATTTATATAGTGGTATTATGATATTTTCTGTCTTACTATCTGTCCTTTTTCCAATGGTTCCTAACATTCTGTTAACTTTTTTGACTGATACTGCAGCTGTTTTCTGGTTCTGTCTAGATGATATCTGAGCTTTTCTGGGGTTTATTTTCTGTGTGCATATTCCTACCGGCAATGTTTAACCAGTCATCATCGCCGTCACTGGCGACAATTGCTCAGGAACAGTTTGAACTACTTTATTCTTGTATCTGGATTTGTTACAGTTTATTTGTTTTTACACATGGACTGTGTATGTCTTTCTTTCTGGTACTTCTGATACAGCTCCCCTTTGAAATGACAATTTATGGTCTGTTTGGCAACAGGAGAAACATTCAAAATGAGGATTCAGCCTTTGGCTAAAGTGGCGCTGATTTGGTAAACGTCACTCTGACTTTGGGCCATTTTATCTTCCATGTCTTTTGCTACAGTCTTCACTGACACAGTGATATCCCACAGCACAGGATTATGTAAGATCAGCCTCTGTCAGCAAATGGCTGGGCATCTCTAACCACACACCAAATAGCTCCTCAAACCATCATCCAGATTTGTTCCAAATTGGCTTGGCTTCTTTAGTTGTGCCACATGCACACTTGCGAGCTCGGCAGGCTGCTGATTCCACTTATGGATCTGGAAATGTTCTGCCAGGATAAAAAGTTTCAGTGCCAAATGTCTTTGTAAAGTGGCTGCAGTCTTTCTGTAGCTCATCTCTGTCACTGTGAACGTGTGAGATGCTATGTGCACAGAGAACAGGAGCACTCGTGGCACCTTAGAGACTAACTAATTTATCTGAGCATCAGCTTTCGTGGGCTACAGCTCACTTCATCGGGGATGCATAGAATGGACATATAGTAAGAAGATATTTATACATACAGAGAACATGAAAAGGTGGAAGTACCCATAGGTTTTACTTCCCACAGGTCTCAGAAGGGAATGCTAACTTTTTGTTGTGCTGCACCATAATCATCAACAAACTGCTGCAATCATTCAATGCATGATTATCAGTCCTCACAGGATTCATCATAGGGAATTGTTTTGTTTCTAGGCCCACAATGATCTTGATTAAAATAAAGCATCAGACAATTGCTCCTCACCCCAATTTGTTCATTGTTTAGAGAGTGTTAGTGTAGATTAATTATCTAGACATCCCATCCATGTCACTAATTTGTGGCATCAGAAGCTGCAGTGGAGGACAATCATGAACAAACTTGATTAACAGCAAAAAAAAAAAAAAAAAGAGAAAAGAAGTACAGAAAAGCATCCTCTAACTTGTTACATCTAAACTAGGGTTGTCGATTAATCACAGTTAACTCACGTGATTAATTCAAAAAAATTAATCACGATTAAAAAAATTAATCACGATTAATCTCAGTTTTAATTGCACTGTTAAACAATAGAATACCAATTGAAATTTATTAAATACTTCCATGATAAAGAGTTTTCACTACTGTACTTGTATGAGGTGAATTGAAAAATACTATTTCTTTTGTTTATCATTTTACAGTGCGAATTTTGTAATCAAAATAATAGTATAAAGTGAGCACTG